TTATATATTTTTTAAATATCTTATAATTATTAATTTACGAATTTTAAATTTAGTTTAATTAACAATATTTTTAAAATATCTATTTCATAAATAAGTTATATATATAAATATATATTATATGCAGAGAAAAATTCTTTTGCAAGCTCATTTTTTTTAATACGAGTATCAATCTCGATCATTCATCTTATTTGATCCAACAAGTTATTTTAAATAAAGTTTTAATTAAATTTATTAATTAAGATTATTAGGGGTAAAAAAAATGAAGTTAATTCAATTTCATACATATTTTATTTGACTTTTTATTTTTATTTTTCAATTAAAACCTTTACCCCATTAAAGTTTAGAATAAATTTTCCTAAAAATTATTAATATTTTTAATAAAAAAAAATTATATAAAAAAAGAGAATTTCATGTTCTTCAATATGACATCCATCTCGATATAGTTTTTTCCGTTTCAACCGTTTTTTACGTGAAATGGTATATATGTGTGTTATTTTCAATATGAATATTTATGTGCAGTCGAGTGTACAACAGCTCAACCCCGTAAGCCCATAACTCGATATCACCTTCTTCACATTTTCTTTGATGTCATAAGACACCGCGTTCTTCATCATCGTAACCCAACATCCATCGTGACAGATTGAGAATCCATCGAGATCAAGCGAAAACCTTCGATACCAACCGAGAATCCATCAAGACCGCTCGAGAATCCATTCATTGGTTTGGTATGTGTTTATGTTTGTTAAACCATAACCTATCACCTTCATTTTCATCGAAAATCTATCGATTGATTTATTATTTGTGTATGTGTTTAAAACCATAAGCTATCATTTTTAGCTTTTATCGAGACGGATCGAGAATCCATAGAGACCAATCAAAAACACATCGAGATCGATCCACAACCCATTGGACCGACTGACACCAATCGAGACCAAACACGACTAATCAAGAACCCATCCATCGACTTGGTGTGTGGTTGTATGTTAAATTTGTAACATAACACCTTCATTTTTCATTGAGACCTACTGAGAATCGATTGATTAATTTATTATGTGTTTGTTTGTGTAGAATCATAACCTACCACTTTTAACTTTTATTGAGATAGATTGGGAAATCTATCATGCAGTTCAATCCATAACCCAATAAAGAAAAAGAAAGAAAAACTTGAGTTTGTAGAGTTGAAACTGTAGTATATTCATGATGAATATTATGTATATGCATGATGAATATTATAGTGAAAATTAATATTTATGATAAATATCATAATAATATAAATACTAGAAAGTTTATTGTATACACGTGATCATACATAAATATTCATGATGAATAATATCTATATTCATGATGAATGTTACATTAAAAATGTATATCCATGATGAATATCATACAAATATACTATTTTACGTAAAAAAAACGTTAAAAACATAAAAAGAATTATATCGAGATGGATATCAAATCAAAGAGAATGAAATGCCCGATTTTTTTGATGTAATTTATTTGATTAAAATACTAATTATTTTTAAGATAATTTAGTTTAA